TAGTAAACGGCCCCTACATCTTACCTCATGGACTTTAAGAATGGAATATATTTAATATAATCAGTTCAGTTTGGTTTAGAAATAGAAGAGTATTAATTACCAATCTAAAACAATAAGTTAAATAACAATAAATCCGCCTAAACTTGCAAATATTAGTGAGGAGCAAATAAATTATACGACAAACGAACGATGCAAAATTAAACGATAGGGCACCGAGATTTCTAAGATGGAAAGCCCTCAAAATAATAGAAAAGTACGGGTCTTTTACGACAAAAAAACTAGCTCCACTGTAATCATATATTATACACAAATCTTGGCAACGAACTATGAACATACCGAGCAGCAGCAAACCTCGTTATGCGAAAACGAGGTTTACAATTAAGAAAGTAAAAGACAAAGAAAAATATACCGTAAAACGCAGTTTTTCTTTGCGGCACGTATTACTATAAAAAATTTCATATGTCGGAATCTTGAATCTTCATCTTCATAAATCAAAAATATACCAAATATGTATATAGCTAAAAATGCTAGCTAAAATCAACAAATCAATCATACTTTTTTTTTATTATTAACCTGGATATCCAACCAGCTATGCGAGCCGACTAATCCCAAAACGACCAGATGCTTTGCAGATAGCCCGGAGTCACCGCATTTGAACCTCTGTGGCTACAAGGGAATTTTTATTCCTCCTTGGATTTAATCATTTAAACCTGAGACCTCATGGTACTTTTGACGTTTGAAGCCAAGCTCAAACCAATCAGGCACCACTCTTGTGGTTTCAATCATACTCTTTACTCCATACATCATACATACTCTTTACTCCATACATCATACATACTCTAATTGGTAATTGCATGGAAAATTAAATTCTAAGTTCAAATAAACTGTAAATTTAATAAATAATAACTTATAATATTAAAACGATTAAATTTTAAAATGCTAATAACTATTAGGGGCTGTTTACCAAATTTTTTATTAACTCATGTATGGATAAATATTTCTCTCTGGATAAATTTGTCTGTCTACATAAATCTATGTTGTTGTTTACTTTTCTATCTGAATCAACAGTCTGAATAACAAAAATGACCGATTTACCCCTAAGGATGAACTACACACTGTTTAATAAATTGTTGTTCATTTTTAAAGGCAAATGATATTTCTGAAAAATAAAGAAGTAGATTAGCCATTAAAAAATACCAGCAATAGATACAGATAACAATAGACAAGTAGATTAGCCATTAAAAAACACCAAAGAACAATACTATCCTTTAATGCAACTGTTTCCTTTGCCAGAAATCAAATTGAGATGAGGCAAATTAACACCCTTTAATCTCATTATTTGATGATCAAGAAATCCAAAAATCTTTCTGGAAAAAAGAGAAGCAATGAAGCAGACCTCAACTAAACAGACAGCAATGAAACACATCGTCCGAGGAAGAAGATACCTAGGGTTCATGATCGTCGACAGGGAGGGAGCGTTTTGAGGAAGAAGATACGCTAGGGTTCATGGCCAAGGGTATGAGGGTCTTTTTTTGGGCTTAATGGGGGCAAGTGTTGTTTTTGATCTGTGCGAATAAGCCCAAAATAAACACACCATTTTGGTTGCGCGAATAAACCCATTTACTAATTAAGCTCATTAAGCCACAAGTAAACACACCCTTAGTCTAATAGGTAAATCTAAAGTTTTGGTCGGTTTAGACTACCAAAAAGACCGATCAAACCGTAAACCAGATCAGACCATTCGATTTGCACTTGACTGGACCATCCAAACCGTTAAAAATGATCTAGTTTGGTTCGGTTTGACCGATTTTGCTAGTCCAAAGGGTTTCTTTTAACACCCTAAAAAATATTGCGAGAATATTAAATAATTAAGAAAAACAAAATATTAAAATAGGGACAGCAGCAGTCGAGATTCACGGGCTGGAGCCGCTGGACTAACTTTTTTGTGAAATGGGCTTCAAGTTTTCAACCATGCAAGCTACTTGGGCCTAGTGATGGCCAAAAACCGGTCCCGGGTTGGGCCGGGTCGGTCCTTACCAGTCCCGGTCTCAAAAGATCCGGTCATAATCGGTCCTGGTGTAACTGGTTCCGGTCGGAAAAAATGAGCCTGGTCAAGCTTTATTGTAACCGGTTATGAGCCGCCGGTCCCGGTCCCGGTCATTAAAAAATAATATTTTTTAATTTTTTTAATTATATATATTTTTAATACATTATAAAATTTGTAATTTGGTCATTCAAGTACACTTTAAAAATCCGTTTTATAATAATTAAAATTACATTGTCTTACAAAATATAGCGAGAAACCGAGAATTGTGAACGTTTTTTTGCCTTTTTTGCGAATCGAAAACTTGGTATGTAAACCACTCAACCAAGACATTTGTATATAGAGTTTAGAAGGCAAAAAATACAAAAACAAACGGCCAAAAAACGGTGATAAACGGCTAGTTTTTTTTTTAAATAACGGCTATTAAAAAAAACTACATTTTTGAAAAATCGGGCCAGGCCGGTCCATAACCGGTCCCGGTCCCGCGAAACACCCCAAATTCATAAACCAGTCCCAGATTTTGGTCCTATAATCAGTCCCTACCAGTCCCGGTTCTCCGGCAGTCCCAGACCGGGTCGGGCCGGTTTGGCCATCACTAGTTGGTCCTGGGCTGCTAGGCTTGACGATTTTATCCTTTCGAGAATTCCTGCTACAATTTTTTTCGAGTAAACTACAAATTTTGGTCCTTGTGTTTTGTTGTAATTAACATTTTTCGTCCCTATATTTTTGAAATTACAAGATAGTCATCGTGGTTTGCAAAAATGTCCAGATCTGATCCTTATTTTTAAAACGCCGCTAAAAATTATGTTAAATAAGAGGCATTTTTGTCATTTAATCGATTGTTCTAGTCCAATCAAAATTCATTTTATGATTTTGGTCTATGTGGTTTTGATTGAGTAAAAGACAAAGAAATCGATTAAAAGATGAAAATGCCTCTCATTTAACGGAACTTTTAATGGCCGTTGAAAGAAAGGATCAAACCCATGTTCAGTAATTGAAGGTACTTGTTCGCTTTCACTACACCCAACCTACAAACTTTCACCCAAACACATATAGTTACTCTACAAGTACCATGGGCATGTCTGTTGGGGCTTTGAAAAGCTTATTGTCGTACTCTATTATTAGGGGGGAAAAAAGAGAGGGGGGGAGTACAGAGGTCGTCTATGATCATTTATCATAGAAATGAAATAAAGAGATATTTTAATCCTTACCAACTTGATCTTGTCGTTCCTAGAAACAAACATGCATGAACCATTTCACGAAGTATCTGTCTGGATGGTCCAAAGTCTCGATAGTTAGCTCTTGACCTTCCGGTTGAAAAACAATTATCGATGAAGACGTGTAGGTGCACTATTCCGCGGTGAGGACTGTGACTTTTGATAAATTTCCCATTTGATCCCATTCTAATTCTAATCAAGTATTCTTGTAGTTCCAGATGATCCAGCTACAGGAAGAACCAGGAACGGAGAGTTTTCCCCCCTTTTCCGCCAACTCTTTGTCCTTAAAAACGCTGAGTACGTCCATTTGTCTCTTTTTTATTAGTCGTTTAGAATAGAACTAGTAGTCAGAGGTAAGAGATGTCTAGGAATTTTCATCTCAAGATTTAGAGTATATCGGTCTTGTTACTTTCATTAGAATTAAATCCCGATAGAGGATTCTATTCATAGAATATCGAAAAAGAAGACTACATCTAAGTAAGGTATACGAAGGAAAGCCCATTTTACGTTGTTGACAATGTTTACAATAAAACTTAGCATTAGCAAAGATACTAGTTTTTCAAACTTTATCTTGTGCACAAATACTGAAAGATACCGATGTAAATTACAATTAGATTCGATTGTGGTTGGATTAGGTTGGAGTTTTTAACCGAAGTCGTGTCATGATACAAAATTCACTAGTATTCGGTATACCAAAAAGAAGGGTAGTATAATTAACTCTCTTTGAGACTCTATCATCGTCGTCAAATCATACACAACACACGCCCAAACCAACAACTCTGTACAACAAAATCGGGTTTATAGGACACAAAAAATGTTCAACTCTCCTAATGATAAAACTTTATAAAACTTAGATTTATAGGACCAAACACTTGTACGTCATATTTAAATGTGTTGCAATAAGTTAATATTACGCTTTTGGGCGTCTTGAAAAACCGTCTTGAAAAACTTTTTAGAACGCTTTTAAAACAAAATGCCCTATTAGCCTTTTTATACGACAATATTTGAAAAAAATGTTTTATAAGACACCTTTTAGTTAAAATTATCTTATAAAAAAAGCTAATTGAATACTTTATTTCAAAAGTGTCCTGAAAATTTGTTAAGACGTATAAAAACGTCATATAAGCTTATTATTATATCTTTAGATATGACGTTTTACTGTTTGATTATATAAAGTGGTCTATTTTGACACATATGTTACAGGTAATAAGGGTATAGATGAAATCGTGTAACTATACGGTATGGATTCATTTATTTATTGAGTTGTTAGTATAAAAAAACAATATATTAACGTACCTTTTTATTAGTAAATACGGAATAAAAAATATTACCGTCGGATTAAATCAAATAGGTGGCTTACACTGAATCTATAGGATCTCATAAAATCTGGGGTTCTGATCATATGATTATCCTATGTGCGTATAAGTATTTGTTATAAGAACGTGCTTTTTTATCGGTTTACTGACGTGATAACGGCTATTTCAAGTTATTGTCTTGATCGTGATTGAAAAATTGACCATGTTGACTACTTAGCTTATATGAAAGATTAGATTCAGCCACCATGGTTAAAACGCTTGTGTTTCGCCACTATTCAACAAATAAAACATTAATATAGATGCATTTTTTTTAAATAATAAGCACGTTTTATAACGCTATCAAGGAGCCCGTGAGCATATTATGGGTCCATACTCTATAGAAGAACAAAAGCAATAGTGGATTCAGAATTATCGACTCATATATACACACTACAACATCAATCTTGTTACAGTTTCACTTATTTCTATTTAAATGCGTTACAGATTTTCCATCTGATCAGATAACCATTACATTCTTGATTGAGCAAATAACTCCGTGCAGCTATAATCAATTTACAATCCACAAGTCTAGCTATTAACTTACTACAACACACAACATGTTATTTGAATTAAAGGCGGTCGTCTTAGATGGCTGAATAAAAATCTCTTGTACGACCCAAATCTCATACCCTTTTTTTTATATCATATCAATCACGTGAAGACACATCATTATTTTATTTAATATAAACTAACTTTTTATTCTCTAAGAAATAGTGATGATGTGGTTTTACATGATTGATAGACACTAAGAACACAAGGAATTTAGGGACAATAAATATTTATTTTACGGGAAATCGACCAAAATAGACAATCTCTCCGACCAAATTCACTTTTTAGCCACTTTCGGAACAGAAATCTCATTTTAGCCGAAATTTACATAAATGCCTTGCACATTTGCACAAAAGCTTATTTTCAGATTAATAGAAAAAAGAAAAAAGATTACGTAAATGGGAATCCTTGCGCGAATTCTTTATGGAAATGTGGATCTATACGCAAATTTACGTAAAGGTTTTTCTTTTGTTTTTTCAATCTAGAAATTGAGTTTTACGCAGATACGTGGCATATTTATGCAAACTCTGACTAAAACGGAAGTTCGATTAAAAAATAAACCTGATCGAAGAGATTAACTATTTTGTTCGATTTTGTTATTTTAGATGGGTGGAGAAGTGAAATTTCCCTTGAGCAATCCAGTGGCTATGTGGCTATAAGCTGTTTCAGTGAGGTGCACCCCATCCCAATTTGCATAAGTAGAAGGGTCTTTGCATGGTTTGGACCCAATGTGACCACACCTTGCTGTGTAATTGAAGTTGTATGGTCCACCCCCTCCACAACAAGCACTTAAACCTCCATTCATGAGTCCTGCATTCATGCACCCATTTATATAAAATTATCTGATATGGGTTTTATCTGATTCGAAAAAATCGGTCTTGATCCGATCCAATTCTAGAAAATATGGTCTGAAAAAGAACTGGCAATCGTGCACCGTCCGGACTAACAGTGTCATGGGTCAATCTTTGTTTGTTTACTGTTAATAAACTAATTGTTGGCTAATAAATTAACTGATAAACAGATTATGTTTGGTAAGAATAGCTGTTTTTTATCACCCTAACTAAGACTTTAACTAGTTCATGTGTGTGAAAGTAATTTAAGATACGTAAACGTTTGTGAAAGTGAAAATTGAGATTGATGAAGGTAATTGAAGGTTCATGTTTGTGGTGAGAAATCAACTGGTCGCCGATTTTTCAGCCGTTAGATCAAAAAATCAACTCATCTGATGGTTTAGAAGAATTCACGTCATTCTCACTGGAACACGACCATATATATGTATATATTGGGGGGAAATTTAATGAGAACCACAAAAATGTTACAAACCCGTGGGAACCAATATAAAAATATTTTTTTACATTATTTATTTTCATCAAACTACTACAAATTTGACTTTATAGGATGCCTAGATTGTCCAAGCGTCCTAATAAAATAACATATAGAACTTAGGGGCCGTTTACTAAACGCTTACCCGGTAGGTGCTTACTGGGCAATTTTTCTCACTGGACGAACATGGCAAGACCCAAGAATCTTACCTGGTAAGAACGATGATAAGGATAGAGAGTTTTACTCAGTAAGTGAAGGTGGCGACTCTTATTCGGGTAAGCGCTTACCATATATATTGTTGCACACGATACTATTTTGATATACTACAATCTTACCTAGAAAATAAATTATAGTGTTGACTTCTAACGGTAAGTGCTTACCGGATAAGCATTTAGGTAAACAACCCCTTAGGTTTATAAAACCAATAAAGCGTCCTATTTAAAAATGTTACAATAGGCTTATTGGACGTTTTTAAATGTTTTAACAAGTTTTTTAGGATGCTTTTAAAATTGTCTCCTATTAGTTATTTTATATGACACTTTTGAGAAAGATCCTATAAACATATCTTTTTTACAGGACACTTGTGTCTATAAAACACTTTTTCAAATAGTGTCATATAAAATAGTTAATATGACACTTTATTTTAAATGATTCCTAAAAAGCTTGTTAAAACGTTTAGAAATGTTCTATTAACCTATTGTAACACTTTTAGATCAGATGTTTTTTTGTTTGATCCTATAAACTTACACCTATGAATGTTTTTTAGGGTGCTTATTAATTTTAGACGTCCTACAAAATCAATTTTGTTGTAATGTCAAAGGTTATATGATTTAAAATATTATTTCACATATATTTGTTTCATAATATGATATTTTCACATATATTTGTTTCACCATGTGAAACATTTTTACCTGTATTTTTCGTTTCACTATGTGAACCCAAAAAAATAGTTTCACATGTAATTTTTTTCACCATGTGAACACAAACATATATGAAATAGTACCTTAAATCGTACATTTTGATGAGAAAATAACGTAAAAAATAGTTTTTATATCAGTTTTCTCACAGGTTTGTAATTTTTTTGTGGTTCTCAATTGATTATTGTAATATATTCCCATAATGGTCGTAGGACCAGTAGGATAAAGGTGTTCTGGAGGGTAACTCAAGCGCTTTCTACACACACACAAAAATCGTACTAGAGGAACGTAAAAAGAAACTTACCAAGATGGTGCGGGATGTGGAACAAGGCCTTCGCAACACCATAGTAATCGGCATAAATGATTCGAGATTGTGGGTATTTTTGCCTTAGTTTATCCAAAGCTAGCTTAAGTTGATCATTGTGGTATTTCGAGAAAGCGTTGTGATACTTCAGACATCCGTTTCTATCGTAAGTGGCTTTGTCTCGAGTTCCAAAAAGCGTCAAGTAAGCTGCAGAGCACCCGACTGGGAAATTCCCTGGCACAACCACCTCCCTTGCACCTTCTTCAATCAACATCTGTGAAACATTAAGTACATTGGTTTACTTCTGCTTACAGAGCTACAGAAAAGAAATATAAAAGAATCTTCGAAACATTACAACTTACGCTGGTGGCAGCAATTATCGTTCCCACAACGAAAGGTACCATTCTTTTTACTTTCTTAATGGTTCCGCCCACGAAAAAAGCATAGTTGTAGTCGTTACCACCAATCTCCCCCATCAGAAAGAGCGATCTTTTGAAGTAGCTATCACAATCTGATACACGAAAACTAATGCCCATCAAGTAATTTTGGTAGTTGCATAATCTTTTCAGGCTGGTTGTCTATGGCCCATCATGTAATAATCGAATTTAAGCTATAAATGTGGGTGCTTAATATCCGTTTATATAAGTATACCACTGACACCAACTATGTTACGCTCTGGGCCCAAATGTTGACTCAACACTCGTTTCTACAATTATATCACCCTAGAACCAACTATGCTATGGATTGTGCCCAAATGTGGACTCAACGTTGTTTGTATAAATATACCATATTTAACCAAACTATGCTACGTATTGGGCTCAAACATGGGCTCAACATTTTTGGTGCGAGTATAGTACCACAAAATAAACTTTCCATGCATTGGGCCCGAATGTGGGCTAAGCGCTATATGTGCAAGTATACCACTCGAAACCATCTATGCTATGTATTGGGCCGAAATGTTGACTTAACACAATTTGTGCAAGTGTGCCACCTAATAGAGATGGCCAAATGGGACTGGCAGAGGACCGAGATCCGAACCAGCCCGATGGTCCTTAATCGATTACGATATTCCACAGAAAACAAGGTCTGGCCCGGCCCAATCTGGGACCGGCCTGATTTTTTATTTAAAATTTATTTATACATTTATTTTTAAATTTTTTTTAAGTTATATTTTTAAATTTATCTTTAAATATATTTTTAAGTGTATTTGATCGAAGACCAAAATGTATTTAATTGACCCAATTATAATAAAAAAGTATTTGTTAGTGTGTTTGATTGACCAAATTTTTCAAAAAATATTTTTTTTGTATATGTTAAAAATCAATTTTAAAAAATAAAAATTAAAATTAAGTGGGACCGAGTTGGACCCGGCCCGGGAGCGGGATGGTTCTCATAACCTGGCTTCATACACCTTAAGGCCTTCGTATTTAAGTCGGGACCGGTTACGAAATCACTATTTGGGACCGGGACTGATTTTTTGACCACCTCTACTATCTAAAACCAAATGTGCTGAGCCCTGGCCCAAATGTGGGCTCAACATGTTTATTACCTTGCTTGGTGGTGCACATGGTTGATTTAACCTTCTTGAACCACCCCAATTGAGTGGTTAATGAATCATTGGTCCAAAGAATCTGTCCAAACCCTTGGTCATAGAAGAACTTTGCATCAAGTGCCGTAGCTCCGGCAATTGCAAAATTAACTCCATGTTCGGCTTTCAGCTTCAAACTTTCGGCAATCTGTAGATACGGTGGTAGATACGGTATGCTAAATTCCTCAGCTGCGTTTTGTGATCATCATATAGAAAATGTTATAAGAAATGCATACAACAAAAAGGGCAAAAATGCATTACAATTGTATTAGTTTCATAGGACGTTAAATATGTCTAACTGTCATGATAAACTGTTTTATAGGACTTCAGTTCATAAGTACAAACAATTGTGTGTCCTATGTAAAGGTGTAATTATAAGTTGATGCGACGTTTTTTGACTTCTAAACAAGATTTTTAGGATACTTTTGAAATTAAACGTCATATTAGTGTTTTTATATGACATTACTTGAAAAATGTCTTAGGATACGCAGATATATTTGGGATTCATATAAACCCTATTTTGTTATAGTAAGAAAAATGAAACTTAATAGAGTTTATACCGATAAAATCAACGATAAGTCGTCCATTTGAACAACGACCGGTTGCATGGTGAAAGAATGTCTCCCCGTATGGAAGTTTTCCGATGACCGGATTTGTTAATGCACCGGAGTGGAGGAAGTTTCCGGTGTCAGCAATTGAGTCACCAAAGCTATAGATTCTATCATACCCTAATGGAAGAGAAGAAGAAAGTGTTGTAGAGACACAAACAACAAAAAGAAAGAGAGAGACCATATTCATTATGAATATCAAAAATGTATCTTGCAAATAATATATACATATATACACATATATATAACATTTATATCTCACAACATGTGGAAATAGTTATTGCATTACCCTTTCACAACTGCCCAACACTTAAATAAATCAAGCTACCAATTCAACTGTCCTTCAACCACAATAAATCTCAAATTCATCTTTTACATCGGTTAGACTCATATCAATTTACTGATATATATATATATATATGTATGTATGTATGTATATATATATATGTATGTATGTATGTATGTATATATATATATATATATGTATGTATGTATACAATATTTTCTTTTGTTCCTTTTTAAATTATCTTTTAAATTAAATGAAGATTTCACATATTCTTAAACTCATATTTAGCCGTTTAGCCAGCCCCAATTCGCTTAATAGTTTAGACGTTAGGACCATCTTGTACACAGACGGGATGGTAGAGGACTAGACGTGCGAGAAAGAGACAAGCAGAGGAAGAAACTGTGCACTGATATAAGGTTTTGATTTGATAGCTAGTTTAATAATCTACATATCATATTTCATCATATATTATATATCTTTGTTCCACGCAGTAACGAAGGCAACAGAGTGGTAGGCTGGTGTTGAGCTCCGTAACTGCTACGGTAAAAGTATATAATAGAAAAATGTTACAAAAATACCCTTATAGTCCTAAGTGGTTTGGACTATTTCTTTGTATCGAGAAATCCCAAGTCCAAATCTTGTTGATTGGTTTTTTATGATAGTTTATTTCTTTTTTACATTAAATTTTTATTCGACTGTCAATTCATTTGTTTATGGTTTTCATTAATTAAATATTTTTTTAATTTTTAAAATACTTACATCCATGTAACTTTAGTTGTTGTTTGTTTTTAAAAGATGTTAGAATCTGAAGTCTGATTTTTTTTATAAGAAGTAGGGGTGTATGTGGATTGGGTTGGGCGGTTATTGACATTTTTACAATCCAACCCAATTATAACAGTTTGGAAAATCTCGACCCAACCCAACTCATTCAAAGGTATAACCCAACCCAACCCTTGCGGGTTAGGGCGGGTTTGGTTGGTTTGGCGGGTTACTAAAATTCACAAAGTTGGCAAATGAAATATGATAAATAATACTAAAAATATACCCAACAAAGTCATTAGTTATTACAATCATCCAAAAATATATCTAAATTCTCAAGGCTTGGAATCAAATTTCAAAAACTTAAATGATAGCATTTGATTCAAATCATTAAAATCAAGTACGACCGTCTTAGACCTTCCCGACTCTGATGTTGCATTCTCCTTGAGTTTGTTTACAATTCAAAAAGAATATTAAACCTTTTATTAATAATATATAAGCATGAAAAAAGAACCATTGTTAAGTTTACCTTCTTCAAGAAAGTTATAAGATGAAATTTCATCTAAAAATTCACTTATTTGAATCACCTCGTTATTCCCTTTCAACTGCATACAAGAGCATCCACTATTTTTGGACTCAAAGAGCTTCTAAATGAGTCTAAAATACGATTGCTAGTACTAAAGGCGGTTTCAGATGCTATGGTGAAATGAATATAGGTATAGCAAGTACATCTCTAGTTATCATAGACAAAATGTTATACCTATTAGTATTATTTTTCCACCAAAGTACCACGTCAAATGATAGAGTCTTTGGATTGATAGATCCATCAACCGACGTCAAATGATGGAGTCTTAGCAACGGTTTGAGCATCATATAAGGACTCAAAACAAAACTTCAAATACTTCAACTTATACCTCAGATCAAGCACAACCACCAAAAACAACATGGAATTGATGCGATCTGGATCACCCCCAATATTTGTCATATTTACTCTTCATCTTAGTAGTCATGGTGTATAACAATGAACCATTGTTATCAGCCAAGTAACCCAATTGAGAATCAATCTCACAAAGCTCATGAAAGAAATTGTTGGAAGTTATGTGCAATTTGCCACTAAACTTTAAAGTAAGTTCGTAAAAAGTGGCCAAAATTTTGAAAAAAATAGAAGCACACTCCCAATCACTAGAATTAGGTGGTCCAATCCTCTTCTTATCATTTTCTTTCTCCTCAAAATAACTCGAAAACGTGTCATCTTCATCCGCGTACCTTTCAAATGCATTTTCAAATTTAAGAGCTACATCCAACATCATAAAAGTAGAATTCCATCGTGTAAGAACATCTCAAACCAACCACCCCTTGTTATCAACTTTTTCCTTCTCAACGCAAGATTTAAACTTTTGCAACCTTGAAGAAGATGAACGAATATATCTAACACAGTTACGAATTGCAGTAATTGAATTATGCATATCTTTTAACCCCTCGTTTACAATTAGATTTACTATGTGAGCACCACATGTGAAATGCATGTACTCACCATTAAGAATAGATCCACTCCATGCATTAACCCTTATTTTAACAAAGAACTTGTGCTAATTTTCTTGCTATGGTAAGCATAGTCTTTTCCACAACAATTACAGACACATCTAAAGTCTTTTTTTGAAAAGTGATCCTAAACATTTGAAGTTCTACCACCCCTTTTCTTAGACGAGTTTGGTTCATCATGTCTTCGATTTTTGGAGGTTTAGGTGTATTTTCCATTGCTCCTATACATAATCAATTAAGGGTAACATTTTCAGAAAATATACAAACCAGTAAACCACATGAGCTATGAAGCATATGATATGATAGAAAAGCAAGTTTTAAGGAGTTTTTATTCAATAAAATGTTGTTTAGAAACAGCAAAAACAAGCAGCCAAGCAGGAACTAGCTGAAAACGAGTTACAGAAGCCATACCTATAGCAAGCAGAAAATGATTTACTCACAGGCTCACAGCAACCACAATCCCGTAGCAAGTAAGCTACCACAATCCCATAGGTCGTAGCAAGCAGAAAAGGATTTGGCAAGTAGAATTGGGAGTACGAATTAGTGACGACAACGAGAGCAGTCCAGTCGGCAGCAAGCGAACAACCAAGTCTGGTCGGCAGCAAACCAACAACCACAGTTCGATCGGCAATCGACAGTCACGATTTGTAGATTTGGGACGCTAGACGAGTAGACGATAGGAGAACGTGAAGTCGAGAAATGATCAGTAAATTGAATTGGAGTATTGGTCCTATTGAACTTTTCCTAGTCAATAGTTGGATTAAGTTTGGGTTATAAATTAGACAACTGATACATGTATTTAACTTTTGGGTTGTACATTAAACTAAAAAATATACATATTTTTGGGCTGTAAATTATAATTTTGTAAATATCATATATATATATATATATATATATATATGTGTGTGTGTGTGTGTGTGTGTGCATAATATATATTAACGGCGGGTTGGCGGTTTGGGCTGGGTTAAGTTATGTTAACCCAATTTCAAGTCTCCTAATTAGCGGTTTGGCGAGTTGGGTTTAATTGGGTTGTTAGTTGGTTAAGTTGGCAGGTTTAGGGGTTGACGGTTTTTTGTACACCCCTAATAAGAGGTTGTCCTAAAATTTGAAATCTGGATCAATAAGATTGTTTACGTCTGAAGTCTGAAATTTGAATCGGTCAAACTAATGCAAAAATATAAAATATAAATATTTTTTACAAAAGTATAAAAGATAAATACTTTTTTACAAAAGTACAAAAGACAAATAATTTTTGCTAACAAATCTCTTCCAACCTCCAAAGTATAAACCATTTGATAGAGGGCGGATTAGGACTAAGTGATATTAAGAGATACGTTTACCACTTAAAATTTCAGAAGACATTTAGAGCTTTTAAACTCTTATTTAAAGAAAAACGCTCTTAATACTTAAGCGTCTGAATCAATCAGACTTCAAAGATGTTAAAAAATAATTTAAAAAAAACAAAGATACCCTTGGTACCTACGTTTATATTACCAATAACAACTTTGTTCATGCTTTTCATTTATTAAAATTTTATTAAAAAAAATATTACATCAGAAATCAAAATAAAGTATATTAAACATTGATATCATCGTACAAGTTTTAAAAAATATAAAAATCAAGGTTTTATAAAAGAGAAAATAATTAAAATAGTCATTTTGATCAGATGGTTTTATCTCTTAATTATTTTTGTCCTAAAATAACAAAAATAGCCATACATCAACGATTGACAGGTTCGCAATTTACGAAGAGATCAAAGTATAAGGAAAAAGAAAGTATAAGCAGGTCCTCAATTGTGGTGACCAAATATGTAAATTTGGTAAAAAAAAACACATCGTACATATTTTTGCCGACATATAACTAATTTACATATTTGGTCCTTACAATTACAGGTCTGGTTCAGAAATTTTTTTTTTTGTACACTTTGATACCTCCGTAAATTGCTGACCTATGACTATTTTCGTAATTTTGAAAAAAAATGGATAAAAGGTGAAACTCGCCATGAAAAATGGCTATTTTAATTAATTTGCCTTTATAAAATTACATTTTAAACCATAGATTTTTATAATGTTATATTTTGTCACCCGAATTACAACTTCTAATTTTTACCATACATACATACATACATATATATATATATATACATACATATATATATATATATATATATATTTATACACATATAGGGGCTCATTCAAGGAATAACTGATTAGTTTGTGCTAACCATGAGATCCAATATGAACCACTCGTTTGAGATATTTAAGGATATTTTTTAAATTAGCTAAAATGGTAATATAGTAATTCTATTTCTGACAACTAATCACTATTTAATTAAAATTAGTTACCTACTATATCAATTACCTAATATACATCGTATTTTATAGACGTTTGTGAATCAAAGTGTATCATAGTGATAATGTTCACAATGTTTCACGTGTATCACAATGTATTTTCATTGTTTTATAAAATGTATCATAGTGTGCACTTTCGTTATTTTCATTGTTCTACAAAGAGTTTCACATTGTGCATCTTGTATGCATATCTGGGTATCATAGTGTGTATCGTTTGTAGGTATCACAGTGTGTATTTTGTGTTCACATAAGGTTCATCGGAATAAGGTTCGTCGAATAAGATTCTTCGAATAAGTTTCGCCGGAGAGAGGACAGAGGAGAGATGAGAGAGAATATTTATAAAATTTCTAAAATGCCCTTAATTAATATTTTAAGTTAAAATTATCAAAATTATTAATTTTCTAATTTAACTTTCGATTATAAAAATTCGTCTTTTTTTGTTTTTTTTTTATCTATACACATTATAAATCAAATTTCTCATCAAAATCTCATGAGACCTAAAGAACCAACATTAATCACATATCTTATATTAATCTCTGGTTTAAATAACTTAAATCGACAAGATAAATTTAAGATCTTCAAACCCCACCCCTCAAATTAGAATGCTGACTGCGCCCCTGATTCCACCAGTATAATTTGGTGATCAGCCAGTATTGTTTTATCCCAATCTAAATATCACACTAAACATGGAATTACAATTTTCGTTTGCCATACCTAGCACATCGTTAAGAACGACCTACTTAAGGTCCACATGTGATCCCGACTACTATACACAATAGTGACTGATTCAATTATAGACTCTACAACAAGATGGGACTTTTGATTTAAAGTACCAATAATTGTGTGTATTGTACATAAATTGAATGCAGATAGATGACTTAACAAGTTATGTTAACAAATTACAGCAACCAAATAAGACACAAGAAGTAAGTCGGGTTATTACCCTTTTATTAAGACATTTCTTTGAAAAGTGTCGTGTATATAAAAATGCTAATAAGATGGTTCTTATATCTTATAAAAAGTTGGATTGTTGGTCTTATAAACTTAAAGTCTCTCTTAACCGCAAGGGTGGTGCCCGATTGGTTTAAGCTTGGGCTCCAAATGTCAAAAGTGTCTGGATGTCTCAATTTCGAATCCAAGGAGGAATAAAAACCCCCTTTTGGCCACGAAGGTTCAGATGTAGTGACTCTAGGCTACCGGTGAAACGGGTGGTCGTCCTGTGATTAGTCGGTTCGCATAGCGAGTTAGATATCCAGGTTAATAAAAAAAATCTCATTAAATACCCTATTAAATTTAAATTCCCTAAATGTGTTCAATTTCGTTATTTTTCCAAGAACCAATGTTCGCCTAATATTCTAAGAACGGGTTAATTTGGGTCACGGTTCCGGTTCACAGATTTTGGGCTAACCTTATGATGAAGATTAATGTTTAAGCAATACCTTTAGTTTATACTTCAGTATCAGTGTGCCTATGAAGAGTTGCAACTGTGTGTTCTTCATATAAACTGCAACGATGCTTTTATACTACATATTGTAACCGATGGTTGAATTAACGAGACATCGGTTACGAAATCAATTTCACAAAAACAAAAGGTTACGAAATCAATTTAATAAATATGGAGTAAAATAAAAACGTGTAAAATAATTAAATGTAACAGATCGAGTCTAAAACTGATTTCATAATCGGTTCAGAAACCCATCAAAATATTTTCTTGAAAATAGTAAAACTTACCTTGAACGTTTCTTCTCGACACATTGGTTACAAAATCACGGTCAAAAAAACTAAAAGTTATAAAATTAATTTCATAAATATTGACTAAATGACCAGTAACCGATTTTGTAAAATAACTCTGTGTAATCAATTGAATTTATAACTGATTTCGTAATCGGTATAACAAATCTTTCAAAATATTTTCTAGAAAATAGAAAAACTTATCTTGAACTTATCAGTTTCATAAAATATTAAGTAAATAAAATCGTAACTTATCGTGCATTATAAGTTATTGTAATCAACTGAGTTTTCATAACTGGTTTAACATATCCATCAAAATATTTTCTACGAAATAGCAAAACTTATCCCGAGCTTTTACGTCAACCCGTGGGACACATGTTCGCCACAAGTCCAGTAGTTCAGACCCGTCTCAAACCAGGTTTCACATCCCACCTATGTCGAATACCCGTTTTTAACTCGATATTCATTTCAATTGCAACACTTCAATACGAGAGTTTGATTAAACATTTAGGCGCCATTTACCCAAATGCTTATCCGGTAAGTGCTTACCTATATGATTCAACATTATAATTTATTTTGATACCTAAGATTTTAGTACATCAAAACATATTGAATGCAACAAGTTACTGGGTAAGTACTTACCTGAGTAAGAGTGGGCATCCTTACTTACCGGGTAAGACTCTACCATTTTCATTGCTCTTACCCGGTAAGATTTTTGGCTCTTTTCATGTTCATCTAATAAGAAAATTTATCCGGTAAACACTTATCAAGTAAGTGTTTAGTAAGCGGTCTCAGATTTTAGAGGCAATTGGGTTTGGGCCATAATAAGGGGTTAGGCCCATTTCTTTTTTACTCTATTTGGGCCTAGTAAAAATTTAAGTGGATGCATTTAAGGGAAAAGCCCAAAAAGTAAAACGTATTTATGTTATTTTTAGAGCTTAAGTAGTTGAATATTTTTTTGAATTAATAAATTAATTAACATATTGAAATAATTAAATAAATATTTGGACTTAGTAAAGCAGAGAAAATCCAGTTTTGAGCGATTAAGGGACCGTTTACCAAATACTTAATCGGTAAGCGTTTACCGGTAAAATTCAAACACTATCATTTACTTACCCGGTAAGATTTTAGTTCACAAAAACGACATGGTATACAACAATTTACCTGATAATTACTTACCGTGGTAAGAGTCATCGCCTTCACTTACCGGGTAAGAACCTTTTCCTTGCCTCGTTCTTACCGGGTAAGATTCTTGGTCCTTACCACATTCATCCGGTAAGGTAATATAACTTAGTAAGCTCTTACCCAGGTAAGCGTTTGGTAAACAGCCCATAAATCTTTTAAGATTTTTTAACGAATATTTTTTTACATTTATACAATGAGCGAAACATATTTTTTTGAACGGATGTTTTTATAAAGCAAAAAAGAATTGTTGATTTGTCAAAGTTGACTAACAACACGTTAAATAATATTTTTGACTCCGATCTTGCATAGGGTGGTTAGCTGGTTAATAGCCATATAGTTTGACAAATGTGAACGTTTTAATCGTTTTTCAAAGTCAATCTCCCTATAACTTAACCTATTCCATACAGCATAGCTGAATTTTATGAGCTATGTCTTTATTATATATGCTATTATGAAATACTTTATTCCTTTTCGATACACAACGATGCTAAATATGCAATGTATATGTTTTGGGGAACTTGTTCAACGTTTTTTTAATTTGCTCAAATGTTTTTTTAATTTTGAAAACAGATGTTTTTTATAATTCGATATAAATATATTTAAATATAATAAGAATCGTGTGAGAAGAAGAGTTAAGATGAGAAGCGTAAGAAGGGATCTGAACCCTTGATCACCTTTAATTTCAAACTTACCCATGAATTGTGCTTGATACTAGGGGTGCTCAAAAACCCGACCAACCTGATCAACACGATCAACCCAACCCCATCCAACGCGAAATAACTCAACCCAAAACAACCCGATGTCTAATCGAGTTGTAAAATTTTCAAGCAGTAGGTACTGGGTTGATATTATTGGAACCCAACCCAACCCGATATCCATTTATTTCTTGGATTTAATATAATTGTTAAATTACTATTAATATATATACTAGACAATTACACTATCACGTACGCTATTCATATACACATCTAACTCATTCGTATATATGTTCAGTAACTGTAAACATATATGCATAAATTGAGAAAATTAATTGAATACGATATACATAAGAAGTATGGATAAGTTGTATCAAATGATAGATGATGAAAAAGAAATTATGAGTAGATAAAATAACATATTCAAGGTTAGAAGAAAATTTTAATATACCAAATTATCAACTCGACCAACTCGTACGGTTTGGGTTGGGTTGGGTTAGGTTGGGTTGCACTTTCGTTTGGGTTGGGTTGGGTTGGGTTAAGATTTTTCAAAACGCAAGCATTGGGTTGGATTGTTCAAATGTCTTCAACCCGATCAACCCAACCCATGAGCACCCCTACTTGATACAGGTGTGCGTCCCATCCTAATTTGCATCGAAAGCCCATAATAGGTCTGAACCACCGAAAGCGATTAAACAAGACCGTCTTATTGTCGTCCGTCTTGACCTGTTTGATCACTTGCTACCAAACAGTTTGGTTTGGAAAATCTCATAAATCAGTGTGTTGTTTAAGGGGTTAAACAGTCCAAACGCACCGTGAACACCCTTGAACTCGTAACTTCAAAACAATTCCATATATTCATGGAAAATATTTTATATATACCCTTTAATATATTTTAAAATACAATTTCCCAACTATATAGAAACATGATGATGCATTACTTCAAAACAATTACATTACAGCTGAATCATAATTCATACCAAAAAAAAATCTCATTTACAAGCTTATTTTCTTGTACTAAAAGCTTTGAACCGAACTCGATGATGCATCTTTTGCTTGTACCATCGACGTTGGGCACACGGAGTTAAATCGAGGTGTTGTATACGTTCCTTGAAATAAACTCTTGTAAATCACTTGGTATGCAGCTTCGGTTAAATGCAATCCATCCCAGTTGGCGTATGTTTCGGGTTGAGAACATGATGTCGACAACGGATATCCACATGCTACCGATCGATTGTAGTTATATGGCCCTCCACCTCCACAACACGCCGTTAGAGCTCCATTTGTGAACCCTACAACATTTCAATTGTTCGGTAAGTATTTCAATATCAGAATGCATGATCAATGGGTGGACATATAAGACTTGAACGGAATAAATGTCAAAGTACCGTATTTTTCAGGGGATTGAAAAAACTGCATGGCAGCATTGTAGTAATCAGCGTAAATGACGTTGACGTTAGGATGAAGCTCTCGGATTCGATTTAGTTCGGTTTGGAGCAACTCATTGTGGCACTCAGCGAATTTGTTTAGCTTAATCAAGCAACCGGTTGCATTATCGTACTCATCTTTTTGGGCGCCATAATAAATCGTTAAATAGGCCGCTGAGCATCCAATTGGCAGATTCCCAGGAACCACGAGCGTTTCTGCTCCGAGCTCAATCAGTTCCTATGGTTCCCATGTATACCGATTACACTCAATGCATGTGAAATTATATTGTATGAAGTTATAAGGAGGCATGTTCAAACAAGAACGCTAATTATTTAAGAAAACAAGAAAAATGTCGTTAATGTACAAAATCATATATGATTCACGTAACAAATCATATATGATACGGGCGACTTTGCCCTTCGTCTTAACTGGACTTATAAGTCGTCTGCTTCCATTTAATGTAAAATCACATGTGATTTTGTAAATCAACGATCTTTTTCTTGTTCTATTTAAATAATTAACGTTCTCGTTTGAATAATACTCTATGGTATAATTGTACTCGATTATACTTACGGTGACAGCTGATATGATGATGTTAATAACGAGAGGAACGTACGATTTGAGCTCTTCAAGGGATTTTCCAGCGATTACAGGATGATTGTAGTCATTACCTCCGATTTCTCCCATAAGAATTAAAGATTTTTTAATCCAATTTTTGCAATCTGTAAAATAAAAATTAAAAAGTTCCTTAAAAAATTCAAACAAATATTATTTAAAAAATAAGAAAATTAAAATTAAATTTATTTTCAATTTAATTGATATTTTTTAATTCAATTATTTAAAAAAAAATTGTAAACTGAATCTAAACTCAACTATAAAGTCAAACATGGCTGATTGATTAATTCAAAGATTCAGATTCGAATACATTTGTTGACTTTTTCTGTGTATATTTATAGACTTTTATTTTGTCACAAAAGAAAAAATTAATTTTATTTATAAATAAATATTATTAAAATTTCTTTCATATTATTTTTAAGAGTAAACTACAAGATTAGTCCCTGTAGTTTGTCGAAAATAACATTCATCCTTGCAGTTTCAAAATTACAAGATTGGTAAAAACGTTCGGATTTGGTCAAGCTCTTTAACAGCCGTTGAAATTTTGTTAAATGAAGGGCATTTTCATTCTTGTATCGAGTTTTTTTTTTTTTTGTCTTTTATCTAGTAAAATATCATAAAAATAAAAATCTTAAAATCGATTTTTATCAAATAAAAGACAAAAAAAGAACGAAAATACCCAATATTTGACAACAACAAAATCAGAAGTTGTTAGGGGGAGGAAACAAATATATACGTTTTTGCAAACCATGATGATCATCTTGTAATTTCAAAACTTTAGAGACAAAAAGTATTATTTTTGACAAACCATAGGGACCGAATTTGTAGTTTACTCTATATTCAAGTATTGTAATTTCAACTTAATTTGTAGTTTTTATGTGGTTTTGATAAATGAATAATATTTTTATTTTTTAATAAAATATAAATTTAAAGATATTATAAAATTTTGAAAATAAATATATCAATATTAGTATCAAATTAACTATTTAAAAGTTATTGTTTTTTGTATAATTTTCTTAATTCATTTTTTATAGATTTAATAACGAAATAATTTATTTCTAATTTAATAATATATTTTTTTATAAAGATAATAATTAAGTATTCTGTTAGAACTCAATTATTATCTTAATTATATTTTAGATTTTTTATATTTAAAATGAAATATTTATCTTGTATTTGACTATGTTTATCTGTAGTTAGTTACACGAATTTAAACATGGAGCTTTAAATAAATTGTACTTATGCATAATTTATTTATAATCTTGAATTTTAAGTAATATGCATCAATAAAAAGTACTTTATACATAAAAAATGGTTTTTAAGAATTTTTATTAAATATTTTATAATATATAATAAATTGTATATCATTATAATATATATATATATATATATATATATATATAATTCCAACAAAATTGGGATAAGATTTTGACTATTTTGAAAAAATTGTGGCTCAAAATAATCTTCACCAACTCAAACCACTTACTAGATGGGCATGTCCCTATCAGAAACCTTTTTATTTATTTTTCTATTTTTTTTTTTGTTAAAGTTGCATAGAGAGAGACTTGAGATCATGTGAGATAAGACTGTTTTTATGAGACATACAAGTTACGATTTTTACACTTAAAACTTCACAACAAAACACTGTGAAAGTAACTTTCACAATGTTTTTACTGTAAAGATTCGGCTTTTTTTTACCTTCACAACATTTTTTTTCTCTATTTTGGATGAATGTTTAGCACAACTGTTAGAGTAAAAGTTCTCCAAATTTCTAAATAACATGGATGTTGGAGATGTTCTTATAACGAGAAACTTGCTATCATGTATATAATCATTTAATACTAAAACCTCTAAATAAAACATTAAAAAGGTATAAAATAAATTAAAAATTCAATAATTTGTACAAAATTACAAACCAGTTTTCATATATTGTTTCATAAACGAAACAGCACGTGTGAAAATTGGACTGTTATTTTATTTGTGAAACGTTCATATTTGTTTTATAAATTTATACGGTTGTAAATCTATAATAAATATAAAAAATATAAAAGTAAATTTGATAGGTATATGTCACTGAATAAAGTAACTGACATCGTTTTTACGGTCGGTGATGTTTTAGCGTTGTTGGGGTTGGTGAGTGGGTCACCACCCGTGGATTACACGCACATGGTTGGTAAAGATTCGTAGAAGTTCTTTTTTCCATATGGGACGTCGTTTTCGTGGACCATATATTCATCCTCTTTCTCATGTGTGTGTGTATGAGACCATATGCAACAAACATGTTTTTGTGAGAGACGTGAGATCATTTTTTTAATATTTGAAACTTTACTGTAATACACTGTAATGCTAAAAAAATCTGAACATTCATAGCAGATTTACTGTGAAGGTTACCACAGTATTTTGGTGTGAAGTTTCAAGTATAAAAAATTGTTTCACGGGTCTAACAAAAATAAGTTGGCCTCACGTGATATATATACTATATTATAAAGTATTTGATAAAAACTCTTAAAAACTATTTTTTTTTGCATAAAGTACTGTTTATTGATGTATATTACTTAAAATTCAAGATTA